TTGGCTCTGTAATCCCTGCGGTTGCCCACCACCTACCTTGTCTCCTGTGAGTCTGGATTCCCTCTTCCTCACAGCGAGATCCTGTACGTCCTGCATTGGATTGATCATCAGCTTCTTCAAGTGAGTCCTTGCACCTGTGCCTACTCGTGTGGCTGTGTATATGCTTCAACCCTGTCTGCTGATGCATCCAGCACCTCGGTGCTGCCACTAATCTTTATGTCTGTGTGGGCATGCTAGAGGGCCGCAACCTGGAAGGTGTCCAGCAGCCAATCATCCTCACCATTAGAGGCTCTGTCGAACACCTGGCCCTTCTTAGAACCTGCGCCTCTAGTGCGTCCCTGTTAACGCACAGACACCATTTTTTGCACGTTACTTTTTGTCATTTTGTGTGCCCCGGTCGCAGACCGTGACAATTATAGCAACTAGAAGCGAAGATGAGAGATGTAAACAATTGGGTTGGACCAGGCAACCTCGTAGGACGTGACCTTGTTCTCCACAGTATAGGCAGAGGTTCTTATGTCTGCGATGCTGGCATTCTTCAGGAGATAGTGGGAAACATACAAGGCAAACTTTGCATGGGTTCACTTTCTAAGGTGGGAAATGCGGCCAAGGATTCTGGAGAAGGAGCACAGGGTGCAACAGGAACACGAGGCAACACCCAGGTGGGGTGAATAGCACCAGCTCTCTCCATCCGTCTTTCTCGGATCCTCCTATCAAGTTGGATGTTTAGGTGGATGAGCTCTTCAAGGAAATTGGGATTTCCTACATTAGAGAGAGCTCATCCTTGAGAGTTTCTGATAGGCCTAAACGAAATTGGTGACGGAGGGCTGCGTCATTCAAGTACATATCTGCTCCCCATTTATGGAATTCGGCCACGTAGTCCTCAACTGGGCGATGACCCTGCTGGAGGGAGTGAAGGACAGACTCTGCGGTGGAAGATCGTTGGGGTTCATTATAGAGTTGAGCCATGGCTTCGAAGAGGGAAACGAGGGTGTTCAGGACCGGACTCTCTTGCTCCAGCAAGTGGTGGGCCCAGGACTGGGGTTCTCCTGTGAGTAGGGCAACAACGAATCCCACTTTGGTGTATTCTGAAGCAAACGTGCGAGGCTGCAGAGAAATATACAATCTAAAAGCGTTTCTAAACGCACAGAACTTATGTTTGTCTCCGGAAAACCGCTCCTGTGTGGGTACACAAGGTTCTGGAACAGGCACGGTTGAGGCAGGGATTAAAGCAGAAGACTCTGGCTGCCGAGGGCCTGGAGCGGGAGAATATGAGGCAGCAATGGCTGTCATACACCTTCAAGCTGGAAATAGCCTTCTTGTAAAAGTTTCACAGTCTGGGTTAGAGAGGCTATTTGCTGGCAAACAGTATCCAAGATGGAAGTACTGCTCTCTGTCTCTGGACATGGCTGGATGATACTATCACGTACCTGGTTGCAGACCAGTAGATAAGGAGGCTTCCTTTGTGGCTCGTGTCCCTCACCCCTGAACATGGAGTCAGAAGGTGAGTGACCGCGAGTAGCATGAGTGCCAATGATGATGCAGACACTGTGCTGGAATGGAAGTCCAGAATCAGGATCGGGTCAAACTAAGCCAAGGTCAAGCCGAGCGTACAGCAGGGTACCAGAGCAGAAGACAGAGCGTGGTCAAGGGAAGCCAAGGAGCCAAACCAGCTGGGCAAAGAAGTACAAAACAGAAGTCAGAGGCAAAGTCTAGTAAACAGGCTGAGGTCAGGAGACAGGCAGCGATCAGGAGTAGTCAGGAACAATCCGGGTCAGGCACAGGAAACAGGTAATTAAACAGAGTAGCTGGCACACAGGAATTTTGCTGAAGATCATCTAGCAACTAAGGATGTTGCAGGCTTGTTTATATAGGCCAATCCATTAGAGGGAGAAGGATCACTTCTGTGCGCTCGAGGTGAGCACGTTTTCACACGCACTTCCTGTTGAACACACAAGTCACATGGAAACGAGACCATGCGCATGCACAAAAGCAGTTGTTACCTTACAGTTGCAATGTTGCGGTCTGATCACTGAGGGAAAGGAAATACTTTCTCCTGCCTGCAGCTGACTGATTACATAATTTTAGCCTAGGCAGATTCTCCAGACTAGACCTCAAGGACTACTTTTAATAATAAGAGCTTTTTAAAAAATATAGACTAATGGTGTTTTTTGTGACATGCCAGAAATGTATTCATGCAGACATGTTACTGAAAAGCCCACTTTAAGGACAGTAATCAAGAACAGTCAATTATAATCCATTTTGTACTTTGCGACTTCAGCATTGTTAAGTCTGATTGGATGCTATAGGGTACTGCACTTAAATATTAGCAAAAGTTTGTTGAACAAACTCCTTGGTGTTGCTTGTGTTGGTATGTGCTCTGTGGAAGGTTCAGGTATCGGCACTCACTGACACTTTACTTATTGATACGTATGCCAAGAATAAACCATGTTGAATCACCCATAAAATTAAATTAATTTATGGGGACTCCAGCGGATGTTTGCTTAAGTTCCTACCACCCCCGACACCAACCCACAAACACACCATGAAGCCTACTCCCTAGGTCCACCTCAACACAATGCAGCTCCTGGGGTTTGAGAGGTAATTCGACGAGCCATAGCATAGTCAAGTGTCCATAGCCATACCTCCTAACTGTTCCTCATTTGAATTCAAATCCCTCTGTCCTTCTTTCCTTCTTAGCTGTCCCATTTTTGGTCTGATGTACAGATATCTATGAAAAAGTTCTGTTTAACCAATATAGCCAATATAAAGGAAAAGTAATGGTGAAAAAAACAAACATATATGGGGTTTAACCAATCACTTTTCTGATAAAAAGTCTGGTGGAAGGGGTGTGTCCATTGTCCAAATAGACTGTGCTAGAAGGTGTTCCTCTTTCTCATCTCAGAAAGTTGGGAGGTATGCCATAGCCCTTTGTAGATTTTGGCTTATTCAGAAAGCTGAAACCTACACAAGAATGTGTTGCGGCCTGGCAGCACAACAAAACAAAGTCCTATGGGAGGTAAGCACAGCAGACTTGAATTCCTTCAGCAAAGGGATCCTGTTACTTTGCCGAAAATTTAAATAGCAATATTCACTCTGAGCTCCCAAATCTCCACAGCTGTCGTGGAAATGGCAAGGAGATCTCAAAATACATAATATGTATTTTTAATTTACTTATAGATAAAGAACTCTGCTGTTATAGTAGGAGCAGTAAGGCTATAATGTGGTTAGGAAAATAATTAGGAAGCTATGTGGGGAGATTTTTCAACTGGAGCCCCAGGAAATGTTGGGTTACAGTACATGGGTGTAAGACTCAGAAGCAAAGTAAATAAGTAAATGCGACATGTTGTACAATGCCCTCAAGGAAAAACATTTTTGCATTTAAGATGGGTTTAAGCAGAGCCGTAGCTAGCTCCTTTTTGTGTCTTTTTGTGCCTGAAGCAAGAACAGAAAATTGAGTGATAAGGACAGCGCAGGGGAGTAAAATGGATATTTAACGGGGTGATGGGGACTGAGAAGAGATCATTTTGAAGATGGGGACACAGCAAAGAGCAGTGAAAGGGATTTTTTAAGGGGTGATGGAGAAAGGGCAGGTTATGGCAGAGAGTACTCCAAATGTGTTAGCATTGATACTCCTCTTGTGATCGAGATCAGTGCTTTTGTACTTAAACATCTTTGCCAAACATCATAAAATTGCTTGAATTTAAGTGCTAACTACGGTACACGTACAGGATACCATTTGCTTACTTCATGAGGGGATAGAGTAGGTTATGGCAGAAAATGATCCCAATGACATATTTAGTTAAGTCCCAGGTCTTCTTTATCCCCAAGTCTTCCTTGCAATCTCTCAGCACTTTTTAGCCCCGTGTGCAGGGGTATAGATGGAGGGGTCATTTGAGGGTCAAAGGTGTGATGCTTCATTGGCTGGTGCATGGAGTTTTCAGCTGGCTTTGAAGAGTATTAGACAGACAATTGCCGGCTGGGACACAGGCACTGCAGCCGTCCTCATCTCCTCCCCTCCTGGGAACTAGCCAGTACGCAGCAGCACTGCGTGTGTGTCCGCTGGTCACCTCTATGGTAAACTAAGTTGATTAGCACTGCAGCCGCTCTCCACTCCCCCCACACCTGGGAACCAGCCAATAAGCGGCAGAGCTGCATGTGAGTGAGATGGTAATGTGAGGTGATTAGCACTGCATCGAAATCCCAAAGCACCCGCCCACCTCTTACCCCCGCTCTCTTAAAAAAAGATAATTAGAGAAGTAATATATATTCATATACAGGTTTTATTCTATTCATGGAATTGAAGGTGTATTTCTGCAAAACCTTCTTTTTTTAAATTTTGGATAGAGTGGGGAAGGGTATCACCCTCTGTGAAGTTTTTAATGCTTTATACAGTATGTCCCTGCCAGGGAGATTTATCCCTCTGTTTGTACCATTGTCACTGAGAAAGAAAGTGAGAGGAAGTCCATCATTTTTGAGCTGTCCCCAGAACAAGAGGTTAGGGGAGATTTCCCAATGCAGACACCTGTTCTGGGATAACTCTCTAAGAGGGGAATTACCCTCCCTTTGGGGATTTCTATTAACTTCCTGTTGTGTCTCTGGTACAAGAAGTGAAGGGAAAGTTCACCAATGGTACAGCGATGTCAAAAAAATAAAAATAACCTGGCAACATCTTGCCTTGAATTGTATTGTAATTATAATGCCTTCCTTATATTGTAAAGCGCTGCGCAAACTGTTGGCGCTTTATAAATCCTGTATTATAATAATAATAATAATAATAATAATAACCCTTACCTAATCTATCCAACACTAGAAAAAAATGTGTCTTTAGATACCCATTAAATACATTTAAAAAAACAAAAAACCTTATAAGCCAAGTCTACAATTAGAAAACATTTGTAGGTGGACTGGCCCCTGGTGGACTATTATTATTTGACCACAGCTGATACAGTCTTCTTTCTTTGGCATAAACGTGTATTTGTGTCATTTATATCTTCCAGAAGTCAACAGAGCAAATGAAGAAGGTCCCCACAATTATTCTAACAGTTTCTTACAAAGGAGTGAAATTTATGGATGCAGCAAATAAGGTGAGGTCTCTGTTTTTTGCTATTCCTCAAGAATCTAGTATCCTGCTATTACACAGTAACCCTGCTGCTGGGACAACAAAATGAAACCGGCAACCCACCGTAGAAGCATAATGAATACTTCCCAGCGAGCAGCAAGTAAAATACAGCTAAGCAACAATTCTGTGTAGGATAGCGTGTCCCCTGTTGGGAGCTGTGGTTTCTCCTATGAGTCACAATGTCACTACTGTGTCCTTTGACACACCATTGATCTTTGGATCCATCACCTCCCATCTGCATTCCCCAAACCTCGTGACCAGATAACCTAAAAATTATACATGTCATAAAACACTTTTGGACCTTTTCTTTTGTTGTCAGTGGATGCACATGTTCCTCAGTTTCTAAAAAGTGCCTCTGACTACTAAATTTGACTGGTTTTAGAATTCTGCCATAATTTGTCCACTATGGCTGTGGACAACATTGACTGTCTGGGAAAATGATGCTCTCATTGGTTCTGTAGAAGAGCATTGTTTTCCCGCATTTGACGTGCACTTGGAGCACATGTCAAATTCAGGTCACCAGATTGCAGTCACAGGTACCTTTTGTTCATGGGCAATAAATCCTTCTTGCAATGTCCAGCAGTACATTCTACCTAGCTCCTCTGCAAGGTTCTTCAGCAAAGAAAATTCCCTGCAGATGTTCCCTCCAGACAGCCATTTTCTTGCCCAGCTCTCTCTGTATAAACACCCTCCAGCAGGGCAGCTAAAGTCCTAGGCCTCCAGCACAATCCTTCAGCTGAGGCAAGGCCAAAATTGATGGGAACAGTCTATAGTGAATCCTCTCCAGACTAGGGTTGCCACCTTTGCTTCAAGCGGTGAAACCCAGACACTGCATTCAAAACCCGGACTGTCCGGGTGAATCCTGGACAGGTGGTAACCCTACTCCAGACAGAGGCCCAGGAGGGAAAGAAAGAAACCTCTGGAAAGGTGCTCCAAACATATTTTCTCTCTCCAATCCACAGAAATTAATAAAGACCTCAGCAATTGGTTGGTCCAGAGAAATATTTGGAACTAAGCGATTGCAAATATTGTAACCTCCTGTACAGTCAGGCAGAAACAATCAACATACTAAGTTGAGAAGAACATGCAGAGCCCAGAAAATATAAATATAGATCAGGCTGGTTACAGCCTAGCTATAAATCACGCTAAGTTGAATTAGGACACTCCAGCTTAAGGCAAGGTCCTTACATTAGTAAAGCATGATGGTACAGAGCCTCCCACTCTTAAGATGGCCATACACCTATAGATTATCTACAGACTTTCTATGGTCAGATGCAAAAAGTGCAACAGATCCCTCCATCTACACTAAACTGTGTGGATGGAGGATATCCCACTGGGCCAAGCTTCAGTATCTTGCTGGTTGGCCCCGCTGGCTGTCAAAAATACCTGAACAATCTGATTGGATGCAGACATTGTTCTGGTGTTTTAAGAGCCAGCGGGGGCGACCTAGCAAGATACTGAAGCTTGGCCCAGTGGGAGATTCCTCCATCCACACAGTTTAGTGTAGATTGAGGAATCTGTTGCCATTTTTCCATCTGACCATAGAACATCTGACGATAATCTATAGGTGTATGGACAGCTGAAGTCTGATTTGTGTTCTGCAGGCGATTAGCTGAAAATACTATTTTCTGTATTTATATAGTGCTGGTATATAGGGCAGGTCTATACAGAATACGGGTAATCATTAATACCAATCCTTGTCAGCTCAGGGTTTACAATCTAAATCTAAACAACATTTACATCAATTTTAATAAGAAGCGTTTGGAGTGATATGTAAGATGTGTGGTGATAGCACATATACAGTGACAGGTCCTCTTTCTGGAGACATTAGGGATCTATGAGACCCCAAATGTCACCTAAGGACCCCTAAAGAAGCTTATGAAGCAGTGACCGGCTACGGCAGCTGGCCCAGACGGAAGACATTGCAGCCCATGATAGCTGCACTGCCTTGCACCCATACAAGTGATCGGGTAGCTCCATAGCCACCCGAACACTTGTATGTAACAGCTATAGCCAGCTGTTTAAAATGATCAAACTTTTCTGCTCCCTCTTCATTTTAAAAGACCATAGTAATGGTTCTGAATGCGTTACATGGCGCACAATGCAGGGCCCTGTTTTGCACTGCTGTATTATCATTCACAATGAGATAAAAGCATTACCATAACATCCCCAATCTCCAGTTTGCTTCATTAAACATCAAAACACTGCAGTGGGGCCGGTTGCATAGAGGGAATATGAAATAATTTGTCATTGCGTAAATGCTCCGCTAAACCACTCAAGGTGAGGGAGCGTCACAGCGAGACGATTACAGGAGGAATACAAATGCCTTTTGTGCGACAGAGAGTAGGAAACCTGCCTTATGCTGGAAGCAGGCGGGTGAGTCAGAGCCCTGCTGCCTCCAGAGACACAGATTCACTGCTTCAATTCACCAGATTATTCAGCCTTCCAAATGCCATTCATCAATGTTATAACGGAAGTTGCATCAGGACAATAGGAATGTTACTACCGTTAAACATGCATCGCCTCAGTCCAGTGACGCTCATGCACGAAAACTGCTTACAGCCATCAGATTCCAGCTGTAATTTTTCTGATGAAGAAAGAAAGAACCTGATTGGTTGCTGTTGGCAATGCTTGCATGTTTTCTTTGCTTCAAAAGGAATCTGCAAGGATACAAATATTGCTAACTTGTTTTTGAAGGTGCAGGCTCCAGGGCTGTCATTTTGATTCTTACTGCTCTGCTTAGTTAGTCACTGACCCAGAACCAGCATGCAGTGTGTAAAGTAGGAACACACATACCTATTCTTGGGCAGTGGCTCAGCCTGGTAAAAGCCTAATTCTGGGCAAAATCTAAAACAAAAAAGCATTTGCAGTGAACCCCTGCAATGCATGAACATTACTATTAACTGTAGCATTTACCATATTTTATCCCTTTAAAGACCCTGCAAGTACAAAAAAAAGCCTTTTGAGCTGCCAGAAATTAACTCGGCTCCTGAGTGCCTGTTGTGGGCTGACATTATGTACCTTTTATGGTCTGAAATGACAAGAAATGGTGTCAGCCCTGTCCCGTTGTCTTTTGCTGAAATACACAGCACCTTGTTTCTTTTCTGTTTTTATTATGGACTGCAAAATGCTTCCCTCCACAACATAAGAGTGAAGTATTTTGTAGTCCACAATAGAACAAAGGACTGATAAGACTTCTTGAAATAACATGGGAAAAGTGAAGAGGATACAGGGCAGCTCTGAGTTTCTTACAAGATCAACTGGTATTTTTTTATTTTTTTTGCACTTATGGAACAGATAAAGCACAATGCTTTCAATGGCATATTTAACACACCTGATCTGCCATAAATGCACTCAACTCTTGATTTCCTCTTGTGGACTGATAGCATGTACCTTTTTCTGGACTGAAATCACAAGCAATGGTGTCGGCCCTGCCCAACTGTCTTTTACTGAACTACAGAACACCTCGCTCCTCATCTCCACAACATAGGAGGGAAGTATTTAGTAGTCCAAAAAAGAACAGGAAGGGCTGATAAGACTCCTTGGGATAACACAGTAAAAGAGAAGAGTTTCTTACAAGAAGAACAGGTATTGTTTGCACTTACCCAACAGATATCAAATAGTGCTTTCAATGGAATATTTAATATATCAAAAAGGAAAAACTTATATAAGAGGAGACACACACATTAAGCTGTGTTCATTGACCAGTGACCAATCAACTTGTGAGAATTGCATGATCTATCGTTTGCAGTGTACATGTATGAAAAGCGGGGGCAGGGAGACGTGGCAGAGTTGGTAAGTTAATTTTCTCACATTTTGAGAGAAAGTGGACTTACACTTTATGGTTAGAGCCCGCACAACTGCACACTCCTAGTTCTACAATGGAAGGTAGCTTAACAGTCTCTCAGCACAAGGCACTGCACTGTGAACATTCATCTACAGTTTGTGATTGGGAACATGCAAATAAATTCATAGCTGACTTATTTTGTGTGTTTTTTCTATCTGCCAGAAGTTCAGCTTTACATTTTACATCTGCTGGGAGATTAGGCGGTTCACCTCTTGCTGGTCAGCATTTGCCAATGTGAACTGTTTAACAAGCTCCTTTTTTCTGTTCAATGTTAGGTGACTATCACTGTAAGGTGCTGCCCGCATCCTCCACCAAGTTGTATGGAGGACAGGCTCCACTGGTATCGGCAGCATTAAACCATGAATAAGAGAGGAATGCCTAGCAGCAATCCAAGCAGGTTTATTCAGCAAGGCTGTGAACAAGTATAGTTTCAATGCAGGAAGGTTTTGTACAGCAAGTCCATAGCATAAAACAAAACATCTGATCATCTAAGCCACTAACTAAAGCCTTAATTTCCTCAAGTGGGTTCCCTAAAACAAACAGGCAACACCTGTACCTTTTTAGTGTTCTGTCAGCAGTCAGCTGTTTCACACAGCAGCAGGCTCTCACAGCACAAGAGAGAGCATCATTTAGCTCATATATATAAAGAGTTGTGCACAGCTTAGACAAACCACGAGCTCTGGCTTCCAGGTAAGATGTGGGCTTGGAGTGCAGGCAGGGCCGCATTTCCGACAAGGCCACCGAGGCCTGGCCTCAGGGCGGCAGGAGCAGAGGAGCAGCACAGCCGTCGAGCGGGTAGTTTTCTACATTTAGCCCTGCTCGGGCAAGCATCTGGTTGCCATTCTCAATTGGGGGAGAGTTTGGCGGGGAGGGGGGCGCATTGAGGAACCTGGCTTTGGGCAGCAGAGAGAGCAAATCCGGCCCTGAGTGCAGGCTGTATCCCACCCAAAGCTCTAGAAGGCCACCTGGCTTCAGAACCGAGATAATTACTTAATACAATTCTAAGAATACAACAAATCTTTTTTATCAACATCAGTCATAAACCCTGAAGCCCCTACCATGTGTAGGTGAAAAACCTAGGTGACAGATATACACCATCTACAATCCTGCCAACCAGTGCCTCAAAAGAATAAATATTAATATACTGTATGT